GAAAGCAGGAGGTGCTGGCAGAGGTAACGAGGGTTAAATGTTTTCACCTTTTAAAGAGTCATTTAACCACAATTTTGTTTTTTCCTTTTTCTTGCAGTAGCTACTGATTTAGGGAGAATAGAAAACAGTGCTAGAGGAAGCACGGGCAGAGCTGCTGGGGAAACACCCTCAGAGCCTGGGACCACTGCGGGCCTCCCACAGCCCTTTACAAGAATCACTACTTCAGAAGTGGAGGCGTGTTTGGTCCTCTAAGCCTCCTCATCAGTTCTGCCCAACAGATCTGCTAGTCCAGAACTTAACCAGATACGTTCTACATGGCTTTTAACGTCAGCTTTTCTAAAGCTGGATGGCTCCTGGGGAGCCTGTTTGCTTCTGCTCCGAAGGCGAAGGGGCAACCACAGCAGCGTGTGCTCAGGAAGCCGACACGTCTGTGCTAGAACCGGTTGCCATGTGCAGAGTCAGGGATTCAGTTGTTCTGTACGTGTGAGCTGCCCAACAGAACATCCAGCTCGGGATAGTAACAAAAGTTGATCTTGACAGCTGGCAAAAGTTTTGTTTCACAGAGCCAGACTTAATTCCATTTTCTACTGCTGCATAGGTGGAGAAGGGAAATGAAGCTTTGTGTGATACAAGTGAATTAACATACCCTGATGTACCATGATGAAAGAAGCATTAGGAAGACAGTTTCTCACCAGAACTTATAAATTAAAAATACAGATCTTGCCATTTTATTATGACAGGAATCGATAGTTTGTAAAAAAAAAACAAAAACAAAACAAACAACCAAACAAAAAAAAAATTCTAACATACCAAAAAGTTTCAGGCCAGAAATAGCAAGGAACTGAAACAGTATTCCCTCCTGTCCCATCTTCCCCCCCGCCCACCCCCGACACTGCAATACAAACTTCAGTTTGTGCAATTTAAATTGGCTTAATCTTGAAGTGTAGTCCAATAAGACTGAAGACTAGACACTTAAGGTCCTGGACCAGGTAGTAGAACACTCTCAAGCCTTCTGGATCCCTGCAGAGCACAACAGAAGGAAGGGGGGTGAAAAAGTTAGATTGATGTTCTAAAAGAGCAGTTTATAGAACTAACCTATTAAAAACACAGCAAAGCCTGTAAGGAGACTTTTCAGAGGTATCTTAGACATTAACAGATTTGTTACATCTTGCATGGACTGATAAAACATTCTACAGTGCAAGTTTGCAAGTTTTAAATCCTGACAAAATGTGCATTTTTATCATGAAAACAAGTAGTAACATCACTTTGGATGTACAAAACATGGTATCTGGTCTTTTGAGTTCAGGTGAAATACAGAAATCTTGGTTCTCCCAGAGACATTGGTGTGGGCAGGCCAAGGACAGTTCAGTTCCTACAATAAGGTTATTGTAAGCCTACCAAGGCTGCTTGGTGAGTTTCAAAATACAGCGCACAACGACACAAGTCTAAAAGCATTTGGTACATTATGTGGGGACACAGAGCACTTGTGCCCCCATGAACTGATTTATACCTTGAAACAATATAAAATACAAGTCCCTATAAACCAGCAAGTTCCAATGTAGATTGTTACATACAAACAACAGCAACATAAAAAAGCTGAGTACATACTTGGATTGATTTACATCAATGAGTGAACCGATTTTTGATGTGGTAAAGGAGATGTGCTCATCACCAATTACTATTTCAAGCTCCTGAAAAGTAAAAGATTACAGGAAGTCAAAGTGGTATTAATTACAGAAATGCTTAATTACTGAGATAATGGCTACTCTGTTTTTATTACAATGCAATAGGTCTGTGAATCACATTGACTCTCACAACTAAGTACTGAGATAACGACTATTCTGTTTTTATTACAATGCAATAGGTCTGTGAATCACATTGACTCTCACAACTAAGTACTGAGATAACGACTATTCTGTTTTTATTACAATGCAATAGGTGTGTGAATCACATTGACTCTCACAACTAAATTGCCATTTGGGAACTGCACAGGTTTTAAAATAGCATTTGTTTCCCTCTTGGCTAGAGGAACTGACGTGAAGAAACTGACTTTTTCTTACTGACATGAAGAAAAAGTTCAGGTATGCTTCTAGTGAGCTAACATGTAAAAATTAAACCAGCAATCAGAACAGACACTGTACACCAACCTGTCGACCAACTCTGTCGGGAGGCGGCCACAGCGCATCGTCCTCCTTTGTGATTTCACTGTCGTCGATGATTCTCTTCAGCTCCTCCATCACGCTCTTATGCACATAAGCCTGCACACAACGTTCCAAGATGCAGGGGCAGCCCCAGGCGCTGCCCGCCCCGCTGCCGCGGTCACACCGACCGGCACACGAGCGCTTGGCCGTGCTGCCTGCCCCGCACAGCGCCCGGGCCCGCACCTCCGCCCCGCACAGCGGCCCCGCTC